AGGAGATCTCAGTTCCGACCTGGGACTCCACTTTCCCAAAAATCCTTGGCACACCCCTTTTCGCACTTCCAGGCCCACATCCCACTCCGATCAGGGAGTCGCGCTGGGCGTGAGGTTGGTATCGGAGCCCGACACGTGGCTGGGTCTTAGGATTAATAGCACGATAATTAGGCGATCTGGCTAACCGAGGGCGGCCTCGCCCCTAGAACGCGCATAGACGCGACCCCATCGTCACCCGGAGTAGATCGGCTAATCGACGGGCAGCCAATATGGCTGCCAATGTGCAAAACCCGAATCCGCAACAGAATGCTAATCAATCGAATCCTAATCAACCCGCCCCACGAACACGGGCTCCCATGATGCCACCTGATCTTTATCTATTTGATCCGGCGCACCATCTGGCAGGAGCCTGATTGGCCACGCTCCGAGCACAACAGTGTGACGATAACGAAGCTCAGGTAAACATCCCCGCTCGATTAGGAGGAGACGCTCATCACTGGTTTAGTACCTATGTATGGGTAGATCTTTAGACCTTCGAACGAGACTTTCTGAATCGATTTGATTACGTTCACCCAGAGCAAGCGCTTTACATGATCAAGGATCGGGTGCAAAAACCTCTCGAAACCGTCGCAGAGTATCGAGACCGGTTCTACCGAATGTTTGTGAAAACTGAGCGAGGCGAGCAAGTAGGGAGAGATCTGTTCATAGACGGACTCCGCAGCCGAACAATAAGGGCGAAGCTGCGAAAGCAGTTTCCCCCCATCAATCACACGCTACAGCAGATCATGGCCGCCGCAGAAGAAATGGAACGGAAGTTCGCGGTGAACTTCCTGGAAGGAGAAGACTACTCTAGGGAAGGAGATTCGTCCGAGCTCGTAAGGGCCAGAGCTGAACTGGCTGCGCTGCAAAACAAATTCGAAAACATGGGGTTCGTGCCAGGACCTGTCACCTACATGGAACAGATAACCCCTAAACGACCAGTTCCAAGTGAAATTGCAAGTGTCCCTGTGATACCCATGCCTGTGAGAACGGCACCTCCGCCCTCCGTTGAGACTCCCGCACGATCGAATGAATCAACTTCCATACTCGAACTGACCAAACACTGATTAGTCTAATCCAGGAAAGCAAAAAGGAACAGCGGGAGCATAATGCTCGATTGGAAGTTATGATGAGGAACATGCGGCCTATCGCAATACACATCCCTCCAATCCAACAAGGGCTGGCCTCAGCGCCTGCTCTCGCGGGAGCCGCGAACAATCTGAATGTCTGTTATGCATGCCATCAGCCAGGGCATCTGGCCCGTGACTGTCCCCACCGACCCCCGCAACAACGGGTCGAGGCCGCACCAATGGCAGCGGCCCCCATCGCTTACGGACCGGGGAGGGTAGGTGCCCTCATGGAAGAAATGGAAGGGGTGGGAAGCGCGCTAGCAACCACGGAAGAGGCTGCCGAGCTCATTCCGTTAGATCAATACGTGTCGCTTGGTTATCCGGGACTTGGAATGATAGGAACAATCCGACCAGCCCCGGAGCCGAAGGAGGTGGCGGAGTGGCGACCTTCTCCCGGAGAGATGGAGTCCGGAGGACCCACCTTCGTCACTGGGGAAATCGACATGTTAAACATCGTTCGAGCCTTGGACCATCGGATTCCACTTCCGATTGACCACTTGCTCTCGATTTCGGAACAAGCCAATGAGCGAATGCTGCAATACTGTAAGGCGAACTGGAAACGATTCGCCCTGACCCAAGCAACGAACATGAAGAAGGGACCTACACCAGAGGAAAATACGATAGAAACTTCGGATCCGATACGGGTAGGATTAATCCAGAAAGACGATCATTTCCTACGGATAAAACCCATCCCGTGGAAATCCGCAAAATGCGATATCGAAATTTGGGGAATTCCATACAATGCAATCATCAATTCGGGAGCTGTGGTTTTGGCTATCTCATTGAGAGTGGTTGAGAGGGCAGGTAGGAAAAATGATCTGATCATGCTTTCTGAGAAAGATCAGCTCGTTTCGGCCGACGAAGAAAAAATTAAAACAGTGGGAAGAATGACCAACGTCGCTTTCCGATTAGGGAAGGTGCACGCACTGGGAGATGTCGTCGTACTAGACGTAAATACTTACGACGTTCTTTTTAGACTTCCTGCCCTTGTGGCATTACAAGCGAACCTGGATTTCGAGCAAAGGTCAATCATCCTCCGAAATACAGGAAGAAAGCCCTACACTGTACCAATGAGACTGACCCTTCGTACTACCATCAACGCAGTCCCACGGGTTTCGCCAATGATGGCAGGGGCTCTCCGTATGATCTCCTGGAAAGAGTCCGCGAACAGTGAATCATCAATGGATGAAGCGGACAGCGGTGACGAAAGTGACCCAGAGATCCTGAAGCTAGTGCGACAACGCGTTTCGTATCCGCCACCCAGAACGATCGCAAGAACGATGCATCTAACAAGTTGAAACATTCAAAGAACCAAGGCAATGATCTTGGGTGAACCCCTCATACAGATTTCGAGGATGGTCGATTCCTTGGAACCCCCTCAAACCCTGTACGAAGGAATCGCCCCGCTTCTCACCAGGTACAACGACAAAAAGCATTACTGTGACATTACGTATCTACCAAGGTCCCTCTTGACTCCTGCAAAAGAAGTGCGACTGTTGCGCTTGGGGGCAGAAGCAAGTTCTTTGGAACCCCCTGGGCGCCTCGAAGCTGACTCGGACGAACTTGGAGTAACGATCGCAACTAGAACCGTACCATGGCAGAATGTCTGTGACGGAATCACCCCAGAAGGACACGTGGCCATTCGGGAAGAAGACGCCCAGATGATGGCCATGGTGTTCTCCTGGCGATCGGATCACTCATTCATTTCTGCACCCCCACCCGATGTGGCGAAGCCTGCACGTACAAAACAGATAGATGTACGGATCTGGGACCAGCTTTTCGAGTTACACGTACCACAGTACGTACCTGATGAGATTCATCGATTGATTGCGGACATTTTGACGGAATATTGGGGAGCGATAAGCGTGACAGACACTGACATTGGCCTGTCGTTAGTTATTCAACACAAAATACAGACGGGGAATCACTCCCCGATCCATTGCAAGTCGTACCGATACTACCTGATAGAGCGCAAAAAGGCTCTCGAACGAATTCGAGAATTCGAAGCCAGCGGGTGGATTGAACCCGCCATCGGGCCATGGTCATTTTTTGTAGTGCTAGTGCCGAAGAAAAACGGATCAATTCGCATATGCATCGATTATCGCAAGTTGGATGAAATCACGATTAAAGATGTGTATCCCCTCCCCCGAATTGATGATTTGTTGGATGCGATTGGTTGCGCTAATTATTTCAGCAAGTTTGATATCCGGCATGACTTCCATCACATTTGGTGAAGGAGGAAGATCGGCCCAAGACGGCCTTCGTACTGTTTGAGGGCACGTGGCAGTGGGTTCGGTGTCCGATGGCGATTTGCAACGCGTTTGCCACATTTCAGCGAGCGATGAATATGACATTCCAGAACTTCATCAACAAGACACGGTTAACACAGGGGATGATCAATTTTTGCGTGATCGTGTACATGGACGATATCCTTGTTTACTCGGAGACCTATCACGGGCACGCGCAACACATTGAGTGGACATTGGGAGCACTGAGAGACACTGGGTTCAAGATCGCGCTCGAGAAGAGCGAGTTTTTCCTCTCGGAAATTTCGTTCTTGGGCTACGTCGTGACACGTGGAGGACTGCGGTCGGATTCAAGGAAGGTTGCGGCGGTAAGAGAAGCCCCAGTTCCCACGTCGCTGACGCAGGTTCGAGCCTTCTTGGGGTTGGCATCGTACTATCGCCGCTTCATCAAGGGTTTCGCCGAGATTGCACGACCACTAACGAACCTGCTAAGGAAGGACCAGCCTCTCAGCTGGGACGCGGAGTGCCAACAGGCTTTCGCAACCCTCAAGGACGCTCTGGCGACGGCCCCTATTTTGATTCGGCCGGACCTCTCGAAGCAGTTCATTCTTATCACAGCGATTCCGCCGGAGATTCACTCCGACATCTATCGGACGTTGCGCACCTGGGCTGGAGAAGTGCGGACAACGTGGCTTGATCTCCTGGCTCGACGAGGGGACACCGTCGTACTGGCGCATGACACGGACCTCCAGCTCCGCTCGTCTCGAAGCTCGCCAGCGATCGTGCTTCCTGAGCTTCGTCCCTTCGCACCGCCCCAATGATTCGTCGTCGCGTCTCCTATTTCGGCCTCCCCTCCACCATCCCCACCCTTTGCTTGTCTGCGCGGGCTCCCACTTTCTCCTACCGTGTTAAGGAGAACAGTGCGCCGCTATTGAGCGAAGAAAAGTGGGACGCGTGGTGGGAGGACTACATCGAACTCGCCTTCTGTCTATTGGAGATAGAGTTCCGCTGGTTAGAAGCGGCCCCGTTCGGAGAAGGACCAGAGCACCCAGAGGACAGCGTGGAGCTTATGATCATCCAAGCCTGGAGAACGGCGGAGCAGGGCGACCTGCTAGGAATCATATTCGGGAAGGTGGAGGAAGGTAATCTCACCTTGATCACGGACGAATTGCTGGTGTTTTTGACTCAGCTGGTGGACGATATGCCCCTGGACATCTTGTCGCGCAGTGACAAGCAGCCTGGCACCCACTTGCTGTCTCGAACGCTCGAGCCGCACCTTGTGTGGTCCACATGTACGGAGATTGACGAGGACAACTGTCTCTATCCCTCCCAGGCGCTCTACTTGGAGATCGACGTTGTCGATCTCACGTTTTGGGATCCGATTGCGAGGCAAAACGCGGCACAGGACGAGGAGATAGGGGGAGCAGACGAAGAGAAGGAAGAGGTGGAACCAGACGAGGAAGAAGAAGAAGGAAACGAGCAAGCGGAGTCGGAGTACGAAGGATTTGAGGCTAAGGTGCGTGACGCGGCTCGAGAACGAGCGCAAGAGCAAAGGAAACGAAAGCGCCAGGAGACCACGGAGGGAAAGTGACCCACGACAAACGATCCATCGATCGGGGAGCCGTGGCGTGATCCGGAGCCGCTAGAAGAAGAAGGTGATGGAACCGCAGCAGAGGGATCGTGGAGAAGAAGAGGAAGAAGTGAATCGCTAGCTTCCTCCGGCTCCCCGTCCCGGTCCTCCATTCGTCTACATCAAGATCTCGGCGTTCGGGCTTCGTCCCCGGTCCTTCTCTCACGGACCCCGTGACTACCTCATGCTTACCCGTCTTCCCGATAGACCCCCGTTCCCCGATGGTTGGTGTCCTTTTTCCCATCACCTCTTCTACCATCTCTACGCTACCCACCTTCTAGTCTTCGTTTATCCGCATGCCACCACCCGCTCTGTGGTTGATTCCTTTCTCCTTCACGTACTCCTGTTTAGCGCAGATTGGTGGGAATATAACCACGTAGAGATATACTGTACTATGATATCCGGAACTATTCCCGCCTGCGAAAACTACGAAGATTTTCACGCCGCCCTGCGACGGACCCTCTCTACCATCTACCCCGACTACATCGCCGCCTTCCGTCATCTTCATGAGGTCCCTCGCTTCCCCCGCATCCATCACTCCTTCCACTACGCTACCCTTCCTGAATTCGCCTCTCCCGCCATCAATCGATTCATGCCCCCTCTCCCCCTGAACCATCCGCCACCCCCACCCTCGATGATTTGACTGCCATTCCCCGGGAACGTCTAAGGTCTACCCTCCTTTTTGCACTGATGCAGGGCTAATGGACACGTGTCATAACGGCGGCACGCGTAATCCCCCTCCTTGGAATGTTGAAAGCCCGCCCTGAGGAATTGATAGAAGAGCAGTGTTGCCACGTTGGATGACGTCCACACTCAGTTGAACGGTAAGTGGCATAAAGAGAGATGCTCCGCATGTCGATCGATTAGAGAAATCGACATGTGTCAACAAGCAAGCAGGAGCTTGCTAATATTGGAACCCCCTGGGCGTCACATATGTGACGAACCACTTTCTGTAACGCACGACTTTCTGCGCGGTTACAATGAGGGGTCCTAAGTTGGGAAGGTTGGGCCAATTACGGGAGATCGGGATCGGTGGGAAATTGCATCAGTGTCCTCGCTTTTTCATCTTTTTCGTCGCTTCTTTTCGAAATGGCTGAGTTCGGAGATGGGTGTGTCCTGGGACGGCCGGTTGATTGATTGGTTGGCTGGATGGCTGGCGCGCCGTCGCGCGCGCGATCAATAAATGTTGACGACGTTTCTTTTGTTTCGGTTCCAAACTTTTGCGCGCAGACATCGCGTGGGAATTTGCTTCGTTCTTTTTGAATTTTCTTTTGAATCTTTTTTGAATTTTTTCGAGCCCATTTGGCTCTCGAAATTTCGAAATTTCCTTCCGGAATTTGTGCTTTTCTTTGCTTCTTCGCATTAGATAGGAATTTAGGAATTTCGTAATTAGGATTTTCTTGTCGCGCGGCGCCTTTTGTCTACGCGCTTCTTCGTGCGGCTGCAACGGAACTCTGATTAGTAGGCGCCTTTAATCGTGTGCGTAACTGTAATTTTGGGCGGGCGCCATTGTAACTGTATCTTCCTTCTTGCACTTCGTCTTTCCCGCCCTTCTTCTCTTTCTTTTGCTACGCTTTTGGTAGCCGCGGTCTGCATGATCGAATCGATGCGTGGAGAGTGGCTACGTCCCCCACGCCGCGATCAGACCATGCAGACGTAGGCAAATCCCTCCCCCCCTTCCCTTCTTCTAAGTCCTTGTAATTCCGTGTTCTTCGCGCATGCATGCACGCTATAAATTCCGGCTGCGCGATTAGTTAACTCTCTTAACCAGCTGTTGGAAGCTTGGGGTTGCGCGATCAGGAAGGGGCGGCACACGAGCAAAGTAAGAGGTGAGTAGAGCAGGAGTCGGGCGACCCGACGAGCTGGTGCTGAACGCGCGGGGTTGACGCGGGCCACGACTGACTGTGGGCGCGGGCGAACCTGACGGGTGTGGGAGGACTAAGCGGGGTGACGACTTCGTAGGTTGGTGCGTGACGACGGACTATCCGCATTGGAGAAGAAAAGTGAGAGGGAGAGAAAGTTGAGGTTGATGGACGTGGAATTGCTGTTTCTTTTATCTTTTCTCCCTCCTGTCTCGTGTACATAAATTTTGATTTCGATTCCGGGCAGTCTTCCCGTTTCTCAATTTCTCGGAATTTGGATTTGGATTTTTACTCGCACTTGTCTTCGTGATTGCGATCTCTGAGGCCCTGTGTGCATGCGCTGAATGAATGAATGTATGGATGCCATGTTTGAGTGCATGTCTTTCTGCTGGGAACCTTTGCCTTTGTCTTTGATCATTGCAATTGATGCACTCGTGGGTAGGATAGGAATTTTGCGTAATCGGTAATCCTGTTCTCATTTTGTTTATCTGGTTGGTTGGGCTATTGTGGTCGTTGCATCTTGCACGAGTAATTAGACGATTGGATGAACTCGGTGAATACCGCACGAGGACACGTGTAATGCGATCCAAGTCGCGCACTTACACGTATCCCCGTGCGTCGACCCGTCCATCGGCTAACAGAAGCACTGTCTGATTGGACGCGGCCATGCAAGGTCTGTGACGGCAGAATCGTCCCACACAAGCACGCATAAGCCCGACTTAATTCGCGTGGCCTGCACGTGCTCACGTGGGGTGATCGTAGTCGTTACGAACCCGCCCTTAGGAGTCACGTAAGCTCTGCGATGACATAATGACCCGCTCGGAGAGCTCAAAGTTGTTATCGTACGATCCCGACTATTTCCCCTCGTGGATAGCGGACAGCCTCCGACAAAGATACCCTTGTCTAACCGAGAACCGACTGTGTCCCCGAGAATTTCACTGCGCCACCACCAGCGACCCCCGATGCTCTAATTTTCCTTCTCCTGACCATACCTACTACTTTATCCACCCCGGATTCGTCGTTATCACCACCAGTTTCCCTCCCTTCCGCCTTCTTCTTCCGTATCATCAACTCAGCGCCGTCCCGTGGCCGGCCATAGCCCCCTACTGGCCCAGCACACTGGCACCCTGCGGGAACTGGCGACGACGAGGCGATCAGAGAACCCCGGAGTTCCGAAGGCCTAACCCGAACGCGCGCCGGCCAGCGCCACGTGGCAACTCCCGACAGACGGGCTCATCGGAATCTCACCTACCCCGAAGGGACCCGCCCGCGAACCGCCGTCCCCGAAACCAGTGGCTCACTAGGTCTTGAGCAACCCGCGCATACCATCTGCCCTGAAACCCGAACACACCCTCTCCGCCAAATTACACTCGTGCCCACGAAAGACCCTGTCACAGGAGATCTCAGTTCCGACCTGGGACTCCACTTTCCCAAAAATCCTTGGCACACCCCTTTTCGCACTTCCAGGCCCACATCCCACTCCGATCAGGAAGTCGCGCTGGGCGTGAGGTTGGGCGTCACATACCGCCCGATGCTAAGCTTCCCTCTGTCGACATCGCGCCGCGCCACTACGGTGCCGCTCAATCCAACTCCGCGCTGCGCCGCCGATGTTGCGGCCCGGTGCTGCCCAGTCCAGTTGCACAAGGGGCGCAGCGTTCCCGGCCGTGCCGGCCCCCCCGGACCCTTGAAACAGGGTCCCCGTCAGTCCAGTTGCACAAGGGGCGCAGCGCTCCCGGCCGCGCCGCTCCCCCCCAACCCCCCCTGACCCTTGAAACCGGGTCCCCGTCCGAAAACACAATAAGAGCTCTTGGCCGGCCCACCTCAGTCCAGGGTATGCCCATAATTTGTTTGGGTATGTCCATACTTTGTGCATTCCGGTAGTTTGTTATAGCTGCAATTTTGCGGTACCAACCTGGATCCACCTCAGTCCTGGGCATGCAAATAATTTCCACCGGCCTTTTTCCGGGTATAGATGCACGTGGGCACTGGGCATAGTAGGGTACAGATGCGATTTTCCAAAAACAACAAGGTTTGGGGGACGACGTTGAAGAAGACCATCATTATTTTGGGGACGGTCGAAATCGCTCTCCCTCTCCGTTACGTCGACCCGACCGCATCCACCCCACGCGTGACCGATCCGGTAGCCATGGCGAGTATGGCAGTCCGGGCGGCGACATCAACAACAATGGGCGCCGTTCGCGCACTGGACGTGGCCGACGGTGTTCCCCACCAGAGCGCCCATGTCTGCTACGGTGGAGGAAGCTTCATGGCGCGCAGCAGATTGCGCTCAGCAGATAGTGCCAAAAGAAGAATGGCGCTCCTCGCGTTCCGTCGGAGTTCCGGCAGCAGTTCGCCGTCGGAGCTGGAAAAGGCTGGGCCCTCCTGCGGCGGATCTGTAACCAGACACGCTGAGAACCACGATTTCGGAAACGGCCTCAGAGCGACACGTGTCACCCATCCATCGCACGTCGTCAAAGCAACAACTGTCATCGATGGGCTGCCTCTCGATCCCGTCGTCGATGATGTGCGTACGCTTTCTTCCCCCTCTCCCCCCGGCCCCACCTCTCTCTCTCTCTCTCACACACACACACACACACATACACACACACACGCACACCCCACATACACATACATACACGGACGCACACACACCCTACGCACACGCACTTGAACTTCCCTCTCTGTGTCAGTCTGTATCTCCAGACCTGCATCTGCGCGTGCGCGTGCACACACACACACAAATCACACACACACACACACACACACACACACACACACACACACACACGCACACACACACACACACACACAGAGGAGGCCCATGCGGCGCTCCGAGAGAAGCCACCCACACATGTCGCTCACACAATGCGCAAGATACCTGTTTGTTGCAGGCGTATGTGTTATTGAACGAATGCTTCCTGTCAATTGTGCGTGAGAGAGAGAGAGAGAGAGAGAGAGAGAGAGAGAGAGAGAGAGAGAGA